GTGCGTCCGTACCTGGGCAGGTGATAGAGCACCACCTCCGCACTGGGGCTGTTGGCTGTTCTTGAATGATGCTTCAGGTACATGATGAACAGCTGACCGTAACTATGGAGAGGAGAAGAAGAAGAAGGAGGAGAAGAAGAAGACGAAGAAGAAGAAGAAGGAGAAGACGAAAACGAAGAAGAAGAAGAAGAAGAAGGAGGAGAAGAAGAAGAAGGAGAGGAAGGAGAAGAAGAAGAAGGAGAAGAAGAATGAGAAGAAGAAGGAGAAGAAGAAGAAGGAGAAGAAGAAGAAGAAGAAGAAGAAGAAGAAGAAGAAGAAGAAGAAGAAGAGGAAGAAGAAGAAGAAGAGTTTAGCTGAACTCTGTTGGACCTTCAGAAGTTCTCCCCTGGACCTCTCAGGACTAAATCGGTCTCCCCAGATCTAAAGTTGGACTCTGGTTCTCACTACTTTCAAGTGTCATTGTCTTACATGGTTGCCATGGCGATGTCTCTCTCCGACAGGCTGAGTTTGGCCGGTTTGGGGACGACGGGCAGTTCGATCTCAAACTTGGACATCTTGGACATGGTCCCGTTCTGACCCCCCAGAAAAAAACCAAGGAGAACGTTAACAAACACGTTTAGAAAGACAACAGGAAACTGTCAATCATCTACGAGCGTCAGAGAAGTTAAAGCTGCACTGAGAAACTTGGAGTCCGTGTTGGCGCCCCCCTGTGGACAGAAGCTCCTGCTCTTCTCTCTCTCTCTTCTGTCCTCTCTAACCATCAACTTCATCACTGACTGAGCGTCAAAAGGGGCGGGCTTTTAGCCTGCTGTCAATCATCTGCTGTGACTCCTCCCCCTTGTGGCGGGTTGAGGGCTCAGAGTGTCTCCTCACCCTGAAGGCGAAGGGCTGCAGGATGTTCCCCTGGACGGTGGTGGACAGCAGGATGACGGCGGTCTCTGGACAGTACTGGTACCAGTTCACGTTGATGTTCTGACTCTTCAGCAGCTTCAGACTGCGCTTATCTGGGAACACCTGCGGAGAGAGACGAGGTCACATGACTCACCTGAGGCTCCTCACAAACACCTCCAGGTTGGTCTGCAGGTGGAGATCTTTGTTACCTGGTAAAACTCGATTCCCTGATCGGTGATGAAGACGATCTCGTTCCAGTTGGTCCAACAGAAACCCAGAACGTTGGCGTTCTTGGTCTGCAGAGGAGAAACACGCACAGACATTTCCTCATGAGATAGACCAGGACAGACCAGGACAGACCAGGTCAGACCAGGTCAGACCAGGACAGACCAGGACAGACCAGGACAGACCAGGTCCCTCAGACCTTCAGGAGACGCTCAGACCTACCTTACACTCCTGAGTGAACTCTGTGTGAGGATAGTCGGGGATGAAGTTGATGAAATCCTGAAATTTAAGAACAGCTGAGATCAGAACTTCACTGAAGCTGCTCAGGTGTAACAAGAGTGTCCAGGATATCCTGTCAGGACCTTCAAAATAAAAGCTCAAACTCACCACAGATTTAAGAGTCCTCTGAACGGCCAGGATCTTATTTCCGATGGAGAACTTGATGCACTTCACTTCTCCTTTATCCTCCATCCTAGAGAGGAAACATCAACATGGGTCAGCTGAACTACAGCTGAACTACAGCTGAACTACAGCTGAACTACAGCTGAACTACACCTGAACTACAGCTGAACTACAGCTGAAATACAGCTGAACTACAGCTGAACCACCTGAACTACAGCTGAACTACAGCTGAACTACACCTGAACTACAGCTGAACTACAGCTGAACTACAGCTGAACTACACCTGAACTACACCTGAACTACAGCTGAACTACACCTGAACTACAGCTGAACTACACCTGAACTACAGCTGAACTACACCTGAACTACAGCCGAACTACAGCCGAACTACACCTGAACTACACCTGAACTACACCTGAACTACAGCTGAACTACACCTGAACTACACCTGAACTACATCTGAACTACAGCTGAACTTCATCTGAACTACACCTGAACTACATCTGAACTACAGCTGAACTACATCTGAACTACAGCTGAACTACAGCTGAACTACACCTGAAACACCTGAACTACAGCTGAACTATACCTGAAACACCTGAACTACAGCTGAACTACAGCTGAACTACACCTGAACTACAGCTGAACTACACCTGAACTACAGCTGAACTACACCTGAAACACCTGAACTACACCTGAACTACAGCTGAACTACAGCTGAACTACACCTGAACTACACCTGAACTACACCTGAACTACAGCTGAACTACACCTGAACTACAGCTGAACCACAGCTGAACTACATCTGAACTACACCTGAACTACAGCTGAACTACAGCTGAACTACACCTGAACTACAGCTGAACTACACCTGAACTACAGCTGAACTACAGCTGAACTACACCTGAACTACATCTGAACTACAGCTGAACTACATCTGAACTACATCTGAACTACAGCTGAACTACAGCTGAACTACACCTGAACTACAGCTGAACTACAGCTGAACTACACCTGAACTACAGCTGAACTACAGCTGAACTACATCTGAACTACACCTGAACTACACCTGAACTACATCTGAACTACAGCTGAACTACACCTGAACTACAGCTGAACTACATCTGAACTACACCTGAACTACAGCTGAACTACATCTGAACTACAGCTGAACTACACCTGAACTACACCTGAACTACATCTGAACTACAGCTGAACTACAGCTGAACTACATCTGAACTACAGCTGAACTACACCTGAACTACACCTGAACTACACCTGAACTACAGCTGAACTACACCTGAACTACAGCTGAACTACACCTGAACTACAGCCGAACTACACCTGAACTACAGCTGAACTACAGCCGAACTACAGCTGAGAGCCACAGACACAACCACAGACACAGCACCACTGAGACTGACAGTATGATAAAACAGTGATCACTGATAACTGATCAATAATCAGACATTCACAGTGTAGGAGCCAAAATAGATTCATTTAGGATGATTTACAGGTACGTAGAAGAAATCTGATGCATTATTATTATTAATAATAATATTATGACCAAACCAGCAGGTCCCTGAACACCTCTTAAACCCCACAGGTACCTGAAGGCAACGCTGCTCTTGTCATCTGGACCTTTGACCACGACCCCTGTGGCTCCACCTGAACGCACCGCGAACACCTTTATGAACAAACCAGAACCTCGATTAGTGAACGAACGAGTGAACCAACGAGGCGAGTTTATCTGTATGACAACATTTATAAACAAGGCAATTCAGAGTGATGAACAGAAACAAGGAAATACATAAAATAATGAACAGAGGAGAAATTAAAACGACTGAAAATCAATCTGATCGATTTCTTCATCTGTTCAGTGTTTGATCTGAACTCCATGAAAACCATCATTCCCAGTAAAAACTAAATAAGGTCACTGGTTTACAGACTCGGGTTCCTCAGATGGTTCATTAGTTATAACTATAAACTGTATATAGAATTAAACACTCTGTAGTTATAACTGGACAATAACGGGTTAATGAGATAACTGTAAACGCTTTTTTGGACCTCAGGGCCTCCGTACTTTTGAACTGATGTTAGTTTTTCATTTATTTGTCCCTGAACTCTGTTGATTTAAACTCCAACAGTTTTATTGATTCTCATTATTCTCCGTTTATGATATTATTGATCATGACTCTCAGCTCTCATTGGTTCATCTCTCACCTGTTTATTGTTTTAAACTCTTACAGTTGTATTATAATTATTATTATCAGTTATATATTATTATCATTAGTCTCGTGACTCTCATTAGTCTCACTCCTCATTGGTTCATCTCTCACCTGTTTATTGGCCTCGTCGAAGAAAACGTTGTTGACGTTGGAGGCGTGTTCGAACTGGACCGGGTTCTCACACAGCTCCAGATAATGTTCCTCACTCATCCTCTCGGTAAAGAACCGGATCACGTTATTGATCACGTTATTAATCACTTTATCGATCACTTTATTTCAGGTTTCTTCTCACTTCTCTGAATCCGGACAGACTCTGAGAGACACCCGGAAGAGCCGAGAGGAGAAGGAGGAAAGACCCGCCCCACAGAGGCCTACTCCGACTCTGATTGGTTCATGGAGGTCAGAGGTTCGGCTGTGATTGGTTAGAGTTGAGAGGAAAAAAAAACGAGGTAGACCAATCGGAGGATTTCTGCTCTGGATTTTCAAAATAAGAGCGAATATTTTCACTTTACCTTCATCTAATTCCTCCATTTTAAAGAAACTTGGAAACATTTTAATTCACAGATTTAAAAACAAACAAACTCAGAATAAACAAAAGATTTACATGAAGAACAAAAATACCCTCAAACTGTTTTCTTTACTCGACTTATTTAAGATCCTAGAATCAGACCCTCACAGTCTCTTTTTTTAATGTCCTTTAGTTAATGTTCTTTAGTTAATGTTCTTTAAAGAGTCTGGGCCCCCAGGTTGACGACCCTCCACCTCTACATGAGAGTTCAGTGCTCTGGGTCACCACTAGGCTGCACTGTAGTATTGACACCCTGTGTAGTCTTCCTCTGTATTCGTGGCCTTAGTTTTGTTTGTTTCTGTAATTTTTATTTTTATTTTGTCTTTTTATTATTTTTGAAGTTTTGTGGTTTTGGTCAGGTGACCATATTCTGACCTCTCAAGACGAGGAAACGACTACGCGGGGGCGGAGTCACTGAGTCGCACAAAGTTAATTTTGAGAGTTTTTCGGGTCGGATCGAGTGTCTTTAACACGTTTCTAACTCAGTAAGTCCATGTGACACAAAATCCAAACTCTCGTACAACCCCCCCCAAAAAAAGAGGACCTGTCCCGGTAAAAGAGGACGTTTGGTCACTGCAGGTTTGAGCCTCTTTGTATTTTATTCAAGTTTCATTTAAAGTGTTTGTCAGTCTGGTTTGTTTATCTCCTCTGCTCCACAGTTTGAGGTGACTTTATTATTTTTCTTTATTAAATAAAATCCTGAACATTATTTCAGTGTTTCTGCCTCTTCAGTGTTTGTAACTTTGTGCTTTAATATCGTGAGTTTACTGATTCTCACTCTGTTAAAGTATTTTTTTAAAACATTCTAACAATTTTCATGTTTTTATTGACAAAGTTTTGGAAATTAAACTCTTATTGTGAAGGAAGGCGGAAGTTGCCTTGTTTTCGCTGCTGACAGTCATGTGACGGTGTGACAGTCACGTGATCAGGGCGGATTAATGCCCAACAACATGTCACAGCAGAAGAAGTCTGTTTGTGTTTGATAATAACAGTAAAAAGTCATGTTGTCGTGCAGCTCCTGTTTGTTTTTCTGTGTTTAGTTGATTTAAAATCTTGTTAAAGAGCTTCAGACTCTAGAAGAGTTTCTTCTTCCTGCTCCTTTTCATTCACCTTTGAGATTTTTCCCTGTTTGTATTGAAGGTTTTAAATATGAACTGAATGAAAATGAAGATGAAATGTTTTGTGCAGAGACCTGCAGCCCCGTGTTTACGAGCTTTACTTCAGAAAAGGTCAAATGAGTTCAAGGTGAAAATGAGGAGAATGAAGTTTCGGGTTTGATTGGACAGAATATTTAATTTTTTTAAAACCTTTATTTCAGTTCTTTGACAATGACAAATATTACTGGACATGGGGAGGCGGGGTTCATGACCTATACTGCAGACCATCGCCAGAGGGCGCTGTTACTAGAGCGAGGAGGCAGACGGCGTCTATTCTAGATACAGTCTATGTGAGTGACAAGTGAAGCAGCCACAGTGGGCGGGGCATGACTGGCCACGTTGGCGGTCAGCACAGATTGAAGCGCTCCGATAATGAAGAAGCTGCAGAAGTCCGAGCCGCCCCTTGTCATGAGCGAACTAAAGGCCTGCTTAGGGCCCCGCGGCCAACAGAGGGCCCCCAAGAGCCAAAAAAACAAACTAATATTTTATATTTTTCATGTATGAGTGACTCTCTCTGTCTGATCAAATATAAATTATTGTAAAAATAAAGTAAAAACATTTTAGAGCTGCTGCTGATGTCGGCCGGTGATTCTTACTGCCGATATGTCAAAGCTCCGCCCACCGCCATGTTCCTCCTGCTGAACGTGTTAAAGAGTAAAAACTGAATCTGTGGCCCCCCTGAACATCACCCATCAGTCTTTTATTGGTATTATTGATGTTATTACCCAGGCCCCCCCTTAAATGTGTAGATATGTGAGGTGGATTACTTTTATACTTCAGTAGGTGTGTGAATGATCAATAATCAATATTATTGGCAGAAACAGGGGCCCCCCCAAAATCACATTTGAGGCTTGGTCCGGCTCTGGATGAACCTCCTCCTCCTCCTGCAGCCAGCAGGGGGCGCTCTGTTCTGCCCCTGACAGGAGGCGGAGTCAGTGAGGGGTCGTCAGCAGCAGGGGGTGGGGGGGTCGTTGGGCAGTCGCGGGCTGAGAGGAGGATCGTCATCGTGGTTCGGTGTGGGCGCGAGAATTGAAGTGACTGGAGTGTATGAATGTACTTCGGAGGATAAAGCAAAGTTACGTCTGAGATTTAGCTGGGTGAATTAGATAATCGGTCAGATTAAAATAACGTTAGGGTTTCCGGGGACGGGTATCGACCGACGGCCTGTATAGGTCCGGACCGGTGCCCGTTACCTTGCTTTCTTTATTTCTTTCTTTCTTTATTTCTTTCTTTTCTATAACCTTAGCGGATAGGGATGAAAGGTAGGGGTAGGAGGGGGTCTAGGGCCGGGAGGGAGGATGGAAGTGTAGGGAAAGGGGATGGGGGACAGGGGAGAGAAGGAAAGAGACCAAGAACGAACAGTCAAAATTCATCGAACGAAGAAGACATGGAGAGTTTTAGTTCTGAGGGAGAGAGCAGGGAGGAAGGAACTAGGTTGGTTATACGGTTTGCTGAGGGAGGTGGGATAGGGAAAATGAATCCGTTTAAGCTGACAAGGGAACTGACAGGGAAGTGCGGAGAGCTGAAGTATGCGAGGGTTTTGGGAGACGGCAATTTGATTGTGGAATGTTCAAGTGATGTCCAGGAAGCCTTGGTGAGGAAGTTAACTAAGGTGGGTGAGAGTAGAGTGGTGAGGGTAGTGCGGGTTGGAGTGCAGGGGAGAAGATGTAAGGGAGTGATTACTGGGATTCCTATCGAGGTAGGGGATGAGGAGTTGAAGGAGAAGCTACGTGCTAGGGGCACGGGAATTGCCAATGTTAAAAGAATGACAAGGGGTCCAGAAAAGAAGACAACCGAGACAGTGTTGGTAGAATTTGAAGGAGAGGTAATCCCAGATAAAGTGTACCTAGAGTACATTAGCTATTTTGTGAGGGCATTTATACCCAAGCCGATGAGGTGTTACAAGTGTCAGTCATTTGGCCACATTGCAAGATATTGTAAGGAGAACAGGAGATGTGCGAGGTGCACTGGGGACCATGAGTATGGGAAATGTGGGGAGGGTACCAAGCCAAGATGCTGTAGCTGTGGGGGGGAACATAGTGTCACGTTTGGGGGTTGTCCAGTTATGAAGAGGGAGGCAGAAGTTCAGAAAATCAGGGTGCTAGATAAGATAAGTTATGCAGAGGCAGCAAAGATGGTAAGACAGAGGGAGGAAAGGTCACAGGGAGTAGAGGAGACAGGGGGTGGTGGAAGAAAGGGGACTTGGGGGTTGGGGAGAGAGCAGTCAGATCAGGATAGGATAGGGATAGACAAAAGGCAGTTAATAGTATTTATTGTGGCAGCTATCAACTCAACAAGCAAGTCTACATCTAAGACCACCAATATACAATATATTGTGAAGGCAGCAGCTGATCATCTGGGGATGGAAGGACTAAAGTGGGAGGAGATAGAGGCGGAGATTAAGAACCAGAGTCGAAGCCAGGAGGTAGGAAAGTCACCTCATGCTCATGGTTCGGGTGCTGCAGTGGAATGCTAGGAGCCTGATGGCTAATGGACAGGAGATGAAACACTATATAAGGAAGATGAAGATACAGCCAGACGTAGTTTGTGTTCAGGAAACTTTTTTGAAACCTAGCTTAGATTTTAAGGTTAGTGGGTATATGACAATCAGGAGGGATAGGAGTGAAGAAGAAGCAAGAGGAGGGTGCGCAATATTTATTAGGCAGGGTATTTCTTATAGGTTGATAGAAAGTGGGGAAGAGCAGGAATATATAGTGGTAGAGTTGTGGGAGGGAGGGGAGGCGGTGGTTATAGTTAACTACTATAATCCAGGGGGGAGGTTAATATTGGATAGGTTAGTTAGGATAAAAGGGGTTGATAGACGAAAGGTTATCTGGTGCGCAGACTTTAATGCACATAACACTTTGTGGGGTGGGAAACACACAGATGTAGATGGTAGGGTAGTTGAGGAGCTAATGGAGGAGAGGGAATTAGTATGTTTAAATGATGGGAGAGGGACTAGAATAGATGTCAGAACAGGAAATGAGTCAGCTATAGATATTACATTGGTATCAGCAAGTTTGGCAGGAGTCAGTAAATGGGAAGTGTTGTCAGGAAAGTCGCTAGGTAGTGATCATTATTTAATCATGTGTACAGTAGGGGGAAGAGTGGAGGTGGGGGCGGGTAGGGGGCTCCTGAAATGGGTGTACAGTAAAGCAGAGTGGAATAAATTTAGGGAGGTGAGTGAGGGTCTACTGGAGGTAGTTGATACAAACAGGGATGTTGAAGAAGTCAACAATAGTGTTACAACAGCAATAATCACAGCAGCAACTCAAGCTATTCCGAGGAGCAGAAATGGAAGGACCAGGAAGTTAGTTCCATGGTGGTCAGAGGAGTGTAGCAAGGCAGTGAAAGCCCGAAATAAAGCATTCAGAAAGATTAAACAAAACCATACTATGGCAAGTCTGTTAGAATATCAGAGAGCACAAGCATTGGTGAGGAGAGTAGTTCGACGCACAAAGAGGGAGAGTTGGAGACAGTTTTGTAATGGTATAGGGAGAACAACACCAGTAGGAGAAGTATGGGGTATGATAAGGAAGATGGGAGGGGACAGGAGGGAGTGGGAATATCCTGTAATTACAGAGGAAGGAGAGACAGCAGTAAATGATAAGGAAAAGGCTGAGATGATAGCCAGGGCATTTGCAAAGGTGCATAGTGTAGACAATCTGACAATGGAGGGGAAGAGGAGAAGAGAGATGACTCAGAGTAGATATCCAGGTGCTCTAGACAGGAGGACGGATTCAGGGGGGGAGATAGACACCAGATTTACTATGGCAGAGCTTGTGAGAGCGGTTAGGAAGGCAAAGCCTACAGCTCCAGGGGGAGATCAGGTAAGCTATGTAATGCTGAAAAATTTAGGGGAAAAGGGGATGAACAGGATGTTAGAATTGTATAATAAGGTATGGGAGGAGGGAAGGCTACCGAGTGTATGGAAGGAAGCAGAGGTAGTACCGATCAGGAAGCCAGGTAAGGACCCATGCTCTCCTTCTAGCTACAGGCCAATAGCTTTGACTTCGAACATTTGTAAAATTATGGAAAGAATGGTAACAGAGAGATTGACATATGTGCTTGAAAAGAGAGGTACGCTGGCGAGATGCCAAAGCGGATTTAGAAAAGGTAGGAACACAATGGACGCAGTGGTGAGACTAGAAAGTGAGGTGAGGAAGGCGCAGGCAAATAAGGAATCTGTAGTGGTAGTGTTTTTTGATATAGAGAAGGCATATGACATGATGTGGAAGGAAGGATTACTGATTAAGTTGCAGGGGATGGGGATTGGGGGCAGAGTTTTTAATTGGGTAAAGGACTTTTTGAATGATAGGAAGATTCAAGTTAGAATAGGGTCAGAGATATCTAGTAAATATGAAGTAAGGAACGGCACTCCCCAGGGGAGCGTAGTTAGCCCACTATTGTTTCTTATCATGATTAATGATGTTTTTTCAGAGGTACCAGCAGATATAGGAAGCTCACTGTTCGCAGATGACGGAGCACTGTGGAAGAGAGGGAGGAACACCAAACATTTAGTCACTAAGGTGCAGACAGCGATTGATGGGGTGACAGAGTGGGGATTAGATTGGGGGTGTAGGTTTTCAGTAGAGAAGACTCAAACTATAATTTTTACCGGGAAGAGGGTGGGAGTAGATGTGTCATTGAGTATGTATGGTAGGCAACTGGAGAGGGTTGAGGCATTTAAGTATTTGGGGGTGGTATTTGATAAGAGGTTAACCTGGGCAGATCATATTAAGCGGGTAGAGGGTAAGTGCAGGAAAGTGTTGAATGTGATGAGGTGTCTTGCAGGCAGAGAATGGGGGGCGAGCTGTGATGCATTAAAAACAGTATATGTAGCTATGATTAGGTCAGTTATAGATTATGGGTGTATAGTTTATGGATCAGCAGCAAAGTCCCTTTTAGGAAAGCTAGATACGATCCAGACAAGTGCATTAAGGATCTGTAGTGGGGCCTTCCGGACGTCACCAGTGCCTGCAGTACAGGTGGAGTTGGGTGAGATGCCGCTATGCCTGAGGCGCAAACATCTCATAGCAAACTACTGGGTTAGTTTAAAGGGCAGCAGTGGTACCCACCCCACAAAAGGAGTGATAGAGGAGTGTTGGGAGGAGGGGAAAGGTAAGAGGGAGCATTTTGGTAGGATGGGGAATAGAATAACAGCAGAGCTTGGGGTGGGGGAGATGGAGGTAGACCTAACAATAGTGTATCCAGCAATGCCACCATGGAGAATGATATGGCCAACAGTGGATTGGAGTGTAATGGGAAAGAAAAGGAAAGAGGGAGGACAGGTAAGCTTGGTCAGCGTAGTTAATCAGCGCCTGAGGGAAGAATATAGCGGATTTGTTCAGGTATACACGGATGGGGCAAAACAACCTGAGACGGGGGTGACAGGATTAGGGGTAGTGGTGCCATCGAGAGGAATTGAAATCAATAGAAGGACATCAGACGGTCTAGCTGTAAACACAGTGGAGATGTTGGGGGTGATGATTGCACTGAAATGGGTGGAAAAAGTTAGAGTAAAGAGGGTAGTTATATGCACGGATTCAGCATCAGTTTTAGCTAGCATTAGATCATTCCATTCAAGCAGCCGTCAGGGTTTATTATATGAAATATTACAGTCAGTAACAAGAATAGTACAGCAGGGGGGTCAGATCAGTTTTTTATGGGTTCCAGCACATATAGGGGTGGAAGGAAATGAGAAGGCAGACGTGATGGCTAAGGAGGCGTTAGGGAAGGAATCAGTGGAGCTGAATGTTAGGTTAAGTAAAGCGGAAGTTAAGAGTATGATATGGGAAAAGCTTATTCAAATGTGGCAGAAGAAATGGGAGGGTGAGAAGAGAGGAAGGCATCTTTATAAGATTCAAGAAAGTGTTAAAGTTAGGAGGTTGGGTAGTGGACAGAGAAAGGAAGGGTCAGCATTGATAAGGTTGAGGTTGGGTCATTGCGCATTAAACAAAACACTGAAAATGATAGGGAAACACCAGACTGGGTTATGTGAGGGATGTCAGGTGGAGGAGTCAGTGGAGCATGTACTAATGGGTTGTAGGAGATATGAGATGGAAAGGGGAGAGATGAGAAGTAAGTTGAGGGAATTGGGTATGCAGGACCTTACACTAAAGGGAGTATTACAGATGGGGGACAGGGCACATGTGAGAGTGTTAGTCGAGTTTTTAAGGGTGACGGGGTTGATTGATAGGATTTAGTCAGTAGGAGTATGAAAGTGTGAGTGAATGAGATGGGAAAGGGTGGTGCACAGGGGTTTTGCATAAGAATTGCCAGAAGAGGGCGGTAATGCACCGTACACAAGAGTGCCAACTGCCGTTAAACTAGAAGAAGAAGAAGAAGAAGGGGGGGTCGTTACCATGGACTTTGGCTTCGCTGGTCTCCAAGTGAGGACGTGATTTTGGGGACAGGTCTGAGTGCGGAGGAGAGCGGACTTTAACGGACGTTTTTACAGAGACTTCAGTGAAGTTAGATCGATTATTTTGATCAGGAGTGTGGAGGAGAGTTGAGGAAGTGATGGCACAGAGAAAGAATCCCAAACCTCACCCGAAAAAAGGTCAGTACCTCGGCTCTGCTCGTCCTGGACGCGCCTCTTGGTTTTCTGTACAGAACCTCATTTGAAATTCTTCAGTTTTAAGTTGTTTTCCATAGCGGTACAGATGCACGTTGAACAGAGCAAAAATAAAGATGTTAAAGAAATAATTTGGGGATTTCTTGTATTTAATAATCATTCTGACATTATTAAAAACTTAAACTAAAGCTTTTATAGTTAAATCGCTTTGGTTCCCACGGTCTTTCCTGGTCTGCTGGGCGTCCGAGGATCCAGAAAACCATCATGAATAAAACTGATTATTTTGGTCAAATTAACATTTCTAGTTAAAGCAGCTTATACCAGACTGATAAGAGGTTGTTGTAGGTTTGTGTTACTTCAGGTCTCATGTCTCCTTCCTGGTCCGTATTGCTAAAAAAGAAGAAGAATTTGTAAAGTTACAAAATCATGAATGGAGTTTGGTGCGGAGATCTCGTTAGACAAAATCCTGGGCTGCTCTCGCCTGTTTTGTATTTAATCAAAGATCCCAGTTATCAGAGAAGACTTGACTTAAACATCTGAAGTTAATGGATAAGTTTGGAGAAGGTTTGGACCGTGTGACCTGGAGAAACATGGAGGTGGCCCTGTTACTGATGCTAAGCTAACATGCTATGATAACTGACAGACAGCTAGCTTGTTTCTGATGCTGCTGAAGCTTTAAAAGAGTTTAATAACTCAGATAAACCAACAGAAACGACCTTATTTACAGGTTTTAAGGCTCTGAATATGTAACAATAATAAACCCCTGAATCATGAACCTTAAAAAACTGTTCCTGGTATTTGAAGCATGTCTGAACTTCTTTATTTTCTTCATATTTACTTCTTCATCAGATCTTTACTGATATTTTCATATCTCCTCTTTTTGGTCGATAGACTCTGAACACATTTATATTTGATCTTTAAAGTTGTAGCTGATATTACCATCACTTTTTTCCCTTTGATAATAAACTCAGACTCTTTTATTAAAGTTCTCACACATGGAGGGACAGTCTGCAGAGTTAAAGGGATATAAAATTAATTTAGGGTCAAACCCACCGTAACCCCGAGTTAGACCCCCCCTCCAGAGATGAATTACTAAAGTTGGTATAACTAGAGAAGCAAGCGGTCGTCAACATTCATCTCTGGAGGGGGGGTCTAACTCGGTGTTACGGTGGGTTTGACCCTACATTAATTTTACAGCAGAATGTTCCTTTAATCTGAAGAGTCCGTCCCAGTGTTCGTTATCTAAGATGATATCAGACCTCAAACTCCCAGTGGACACACGTCTGTGAGTCAGGCTGTGGTGAGTCAAACTGCTCCATTGTGTTTCCGAGGGGACGGTGAGGTTAAATGACCTTCTCTGAATGTAAACGACGGCAGCAGAAACAGATCCATGTTGTTCTCCCAGCAGAACAACCATCAGCTCTTTATTTCGCTCTCTTTGGTCAGATCTGCTGTATCTTCATCACACATGGTTTGTCACTTCGCTCCTTTTGTTCTCGCCCTTCTGGTTTGTTTGTTCACACATGCAAATAAAAAACACTGAACCAGGAGCAGGAGACGACAAACGTGTCCTGACGCTCCTCCTGCAGCAGAATAACTTCATCTCAAACGTTCAGTTTAGAGGTTTGATTCAGTTTTTATCTCCTGAAATGGAGGAAAAAGACTCATGATTGTTCTGGTTTTGATCGTCTCATTTTATCATCTGAAGGACTAAAGGGACGAGTGTGTGGAGATGAGAATATTCAGTCACTGTCAAAACGAATTATCGCCTTATTCCGATCAAGACCCGACAACTGAAGGTCATGTAAACACCTTAGTCCGACTATAATCAGAGTCGGAGAACTCCGAACTCTGAGGGACGAAGTTTAAAAGACATTTTAGGGTTAAAATGATCCGAAATAAAACAGATTTTTATGGTTTTCAGATGATTTTAAACCAACTTTGTCCAACAGGTTAGTCACATGACTCTGGAGTGGGAATCTACGCAGGGAAAGGACAACTGGACTTAGTTGAACTGAGTCCAGTTGTCCTTTCAACGTAGAATTAGAAATCATTCAGTCCGTTTCCATGACACTCAAGAAAAACAAATTATCGTCTTATTCCGATTAAGTCCGGACAACTGTCGGACAAAAACAACGCTGTACGATGCTCCATCTTCTTGTTTCTCCAAAATGCCCAGCAGCAGTTGTAGACACTTCTGACGTCTGACACCGACCTGCTGTTGTTGTTGACGGTTGGATGGGGTCGGAAACAGCGCCGCTGAAAAGATCCATATCGCCCCCTAGTGTTCGGGAGGAGGACACGTTCACGTCAGTAATTCGATTTCAATACAAGGACAAGGAGAGAAGAACCAGTAAATCAGCTGATCTCTGAACTTCTTCATGACCAGTTTTTAATGTCCGGGTCTGAAACACGATACTAGCCCCGCCTCCTCTTCACTCTGATTGGTCCATGATGAGAAAAGCAAATGAGACCAGCAGGAAGGAAGAAGACCTGTGTGTGTGTGTGTGTGTGTGTGTGTGTGTGTGTGTGTGAAAACAAGAGTCAAGGTTATGGGCTATTCTGTCCTCTCTGGTATTTCACACACACACACACACACACACATACACACACACACACACACTGGTTTTGTCAGCTCTAATAATAGGGGAGATCAGGTTCTGGATGGTCAGTGGACTGTGGTATGAAGAAGAGGAGGAGGAGGAGGAGGAGCTCTCTGTGACGGTCTCCTCAGTTCAGTCGCCCTTTATCGGCTGAACTTACAGCTGTCGTTTCTGTCAGCGTAGATGGTCTAGATCTCCGTTTAGATGGTCTAGATCTCCGTTTAGATGGTCTAGATCTCCGGTTAGAAGGTCTAGATCTCCGTTTAGATGTTCTCTGACTGTTTTTCGTCAGTATAGATGATCTACACTGATGGACTCTGACTGATCTCCGGTCCAGTTTCTGTCGTTT